TTTTCTGATCTCATGCCGTATCTCAAGAGGCAACCCTCTGGTTAAACAGGTCCCAGTCTGGTTAAGGAAGGATTTGGAGTCTGCTTTTCTAATACTGATTCACAAAAATGGGTCTGATTCTTATCAAAGGTATGAGCCTGGCAAAGCCTTCATACTTTTTTATCTTTTTTCATGGAGAATAAACCAATGCATGAAGAACAGGAGAGAAAAACTGAGGTCTGAGGTGGAAGCTATATTAGGAGAGTATTTCTAGAGTCACTCAGAGACAAAGGAGGGAGTCAACAGGCATGAGGAACATTGTTCCGTGGCCATTCTGAACAGACCTGGGAACTTCATGCTAGAGGATCCCTAATGGTAAGACCTCCCTGCTTTGTCAGGAAAGCACAGATCCAGTCTCTTCTATCCAGAACAAAAATCCCACCACCCCCCCCTCCCCCAAAGCACTCTGCTTCACACAATTACACAACCAAACTACTACTAGAGAGCAGGGTTCTCAGCCTGGAATTCACTGACAGGTTTCCGGGTCTACAGGCACCCGGAATTGTGTGTTTAAATGTCATCTCATCCACAATGTTATCACCTGCTGAGGGATTTGTAGTGATATGCTCATTTGTATGACTAGACACTTTGCCCCTGGCTCCCCACAAGGCTCCCCAAAACACCATGGGGATAGAAACGACGTCTGTAATGCCCAGGGCGTGTCTACAGGTGGGCACAGGGCGTGTCTACAGGCGGGCACCCCAAAAATATCTGCTCACCAAATACATTCTCAAACAATCGGTGGCCCTCCACAACGTTAACACATCCTGACTTATATATTGTTTTGCGTTATGTTTTTAAATTTTTACAAAATTTCTTCTATGAAACCTTTGGCAGTGAGCTGTGATATTTGCCATGGGTCGATAAGATAGAGGTTTTAGCTAAGCTTTCCTGACACCACAGAACTGGATTTGCTATTAGGAAATGCTACCAGAAGAGGGCTGTGGAATGCCTAGCACACAGTCCAAAGTCCACCAATCAATCTGATTTCCTGCTGGTTTAATCTCCAGTACATTTTCTCAGTCTTTTCATTTCTTTTCTCAATAGAACAGCTCAATATAGCGACATTACAACACATAATAGGGAACACAGTTTAAAGATAACAGCTAGATAATGTTTAGTAACTCTTACTATTCCTATTCTGGTTTTCTCCTTTCCCCTTTATGTCTTCAAAGAAAAAACACAACTCTTAGCTCTTTTTTTGTCTCCCTTAGCTGACGTCAAAAGCTATTAAAGGGCTAAGCAAAATAAGTCAGTCAGAGAAAGACAAATACCGTATGATTTCACTCCTATGTGGAATTTAAGAAACAAAACAAATGAACAGGGGTGCCTGGGTGGCTCAGTTGGTTAAACGTCTGACTCTTGATTTCAGCTCAGATCTCGATCTCAGGGTCATGAGTTCAAGCCCTGCGTCGGGGCTTGAAAAAAAAAAATTGTTTTTAATGAACAAAGGGAAAAAAAGAGAGAGAGACAAACCAAGAAACAGACTCTTAATTACAAAGAATGAACTGATGATTACCAGAAGGGAGGTGGGGGTAGGGTGGGGGAAAGAGGGGATGGGGATTAAGGAGGGCACTTGCTGTGATGAGCACCAGAGAATGTATAGAAGTGTTGAATCACTACATTGTACACCCAAAACTAATATTACACTGTATGTTAACTAACTAGAATTTAAATAAAAATTTTTTTTAAAAAGCTGGTTAAGTGAACTTCGAGACAGTTGTTATTACCTCAGTGAATATGCCAGGAAACTAAGGTATAAAGGGTTAATTACACATAGGCATTCATAGCACATCATGTAAAAGATCTGTATTTTAAAAAATTAAAACACCATTGAAAATAATAAAAGAAATCTTGAATAATGGAAAAGCGTACCATAATCTTGAACAGAAAGACTCAACATCATGGATAGGTGTGTCTCCTTATGTTGAATTATACATTTAGCAGTATCCAACTTAATTTTCTTAAAAAGGAATTTTCGTTTGGGACCAGACACTATTATTTTAAAAATAATAGCCAAGAAAGTTAGAAAAGAAGATCAATGAAGAAAGACTAGTTTACCAGTCACTCAAACATCATAAACCTAAAATACCCAAAATGCGGTGATAGTGGCATGTGATTATATCGTTAGCAAAACAGAAGAGAAAGTCTGGAAATAAACCAATATGTATAGGAATTGAGTAATGATAAAAGGTAGTATTTTTAAATCCGTGGAGAAAAAAATTCTACGATAAGAAGTGTTAAGGCAACAAGCTAATCATTTGGGGAAAAAAGTTATCCATATAGGATATCTTATATCAGAATACATCCCAGAAGGGTTAAGTACTTAAATATAAAAATGAAAGCATAAAAGTACTAGAAGAAACCAAAAGGCAGGTTTTTTTTAATGATATCACAGTGAGGAATACCTTCAAACTATGAGACAAACTTCCAGCCGTCATTATTGTTTTAAATAAATTCAGCAAGGGACACATGGGTGGGTGGCTCAGTTGGTTAAGCGTCTGCCTTCAGCTTGGGTCATGATCATAGGGTCCTGGGATCGAGTGCACATCCAGCTCTTTGCTCAGTGGGAGCCTGCTTCTCCCTCTGCCCCTCCCCCTGCTCGTGCTCTCTCTCTCTCTCTCTAACAAATAAAATCTTAAAAAAAAAAACAAATAAATAAATAAATTCAGCAAAAAAAAATCTGCATGGCAAAAGCCATTGTTATAAAAGTAAAAAGCAAAAATAAAAACACATGGAGGGTAAGGTGGGAGGCAGGTACAATGCAAACGGGTAACACAAAGGAGTTCTTTTGTGATGAGGGAAGAGTTCCTTGCCTCGACTGCGGCTACACGAATCTGTACATGGGATAAAATTGCATCAAATCACACACACACATGAATGCAGGTTTGAAAGAATAGGGGAAACTGAATAAGATCTGTAGACTTCTTAGCAGTAACGCACCTGTATCAGTTTCCCAGTCTCGCTATCGGACTGTGGCTTTGTAAGACACTACCATCGGGGGGAGCTAACCCCCGGGAGGGCACATAGGGCTCTGTACTCTTCTTACAACTTCCTGTGAGTCTATAATTACTTCAAAATAAGAAAAGTTTTAAAATTAATATTGGTATCAAGAAAAATTAAAATAAAAAACTAATGATGTAATGTATGGTGATTAACATAACAATAAAAAATTTAAAGATTAAAAGACAAAAAATAAAATAAAAAACACTGAGGGTGGGAGAATGTTTTGCCACTTGTATCAAAAACAAAGAGCTAATTTCTCTAAGATATAAAGAGCTCCTACAATCCAATAAGAAAAAAGCAAAAATACAAATCTAAAAGTAAGCAAAGATATAACTGTCTACAGAAAATAAACACACAAATGGTTCTAATCATATAAAATAATAATAAACCTTACCCAAAATAGGAATCAGGCAAATGACAACTACACTAATAGGCCATTTTTTACCTAACAGATTGGCAAAAAAGAAAGTGTGAAAATATGTGCACTCCTAAACTGCTGATGGGGAAGTAAATTGATCCAAACCTATAGAGGGCAATATCCGTCAAAATTAGAAATGCAGGGTGGGGGATGGGGGAACTTGGGAGATGGGCGTTAAGGAGGGCACGTGATGTAATGAGCACTGGGTGTTATATGCACCTGATGAATTACTGAACTCTACATCTGAAACTAATGATACACTATATGCTAACTGAATTTAAATAAAATAAGTTAATTAAAAAAAATTAGAAATACACATGCCACTTGACCCAGTAATCCCATTTCATGGAATTTATCCTACGGTTAATTGGCACATGTGGAAGATTACTTATGTAGAAGCTTCATTCAACGTCGCAACGTCGCGGTAATAGCAAAAGACAGGAAGCAACCTAAATGACCACAAACAGGTGACCAGTTAAAGACACTGTGGTGCATCTATGTCAAAACAAAAAACAGAAAACCTAAAAGTGAGGAAACGCGGTGTTTCCCCAACATGTAGATCTCCAAGATATGTTAAGTAGAAAGAGCAAGGAGCGGAACAGCATGCATACTGTGCACCCATCTGTGTAGAAGGACACAAGGAGAAAGAACACAGCTAATAAGTCAGTTGGTTAGTGAGTTCCTTGTGTGGAATATATAAGTAAGTACATAAGTAAGTTAGTTGACTGGTTTGGTAGTTAGCTATTGGTGGCTTTCTGCTACAGAATGAAATCTCTCTAGAAGGACAGACATAAAACTGATGAGAATGCCTCAGGGGAAGTTATGAGAGAGATTTTTTATATATACTCTTGAGTACCTTCTGAATTTTTAGCCATGCAAATGTAACCTATTAAAAAATAAATGTTGTTTTTTTTTTAAAGATTTTATTTATTTATTCATGAGAGACAGAGAGAGAGAGAGAGAGGCAGAGGGAGAAGCAGGCTCCCAAGGAGCAGAGAGCCCGATGCGGGACTCGATGGGATCATGACCTGAGCCGAAGGCAGACGCTTAACCATCTGAGCCACCCAGGCGCCCTAAAAAATAAATGTTTAAAGTAAAAATATGGAATAATCTGCACAGAGATTTTAGTTCATGAGTGTGGTTCTACTCAGCAGCATATACCCTAATCAGCAGGGAAACTACTTTCACTCTCAGAGGACGTTAAAATTTCTCCCTACCAGACATCCAATTGCAAGTTAGATCCTGAAACTTGCACACTGGGGCCTTTGAGCAAAAACTTTTAAGCCTGCCTTAGAGGCACCCAACTCTAAACAGAATTTTTTCCAAAGTTATTTCTAGAAATGTTTGTACAGTAAATGGAGCAAGCTATTTCAAAACAATATTTCAACATAAGATTTAATAGGGTGATTCTTAAAAACAAAGAGGTTAAATAGTTTTTGGACACAAACTAAATGAAACGCTTGAGTCTTCGTTTTTCAGAACTCAAAGTACATGTTTATTCAATTCACATGTGACTTTGTGACTTGCTTGAGGAAAAACAACAAAGTTCCAGAGACAATGTGAAAATGTGGAAAATTACAATGTGTGATTCTAAAGGAAGAATAAACATGGAAAAATCTGGCTGCCACTTCGACCTCAGAGGGGAGAAAACCGAAGGCAGAACAATGGAAATAATAATGAGAAAAGACATGGGTTGCTGTAAAGAAACCTTCCGGTAGTTTTTATAAAATTAAAACCAAATTCTCCCAGGGTGGAGAAGGAAAAAGAATCTCCACAAAAGGGAGGGCTGTTAGACCTCACAGCCCTGACCACCGTCAGCCACAGCCACATCCCCTGCGGCTCCCGTCGCAACCATTACATCATCCTCAAGAGGGATGCTCCTTCCCCATCCACACCCTAGTTCATTCCCTGGGAGGCTATTGAGATCACATGTACTTTTTCATCAAGACTTCTTAACTGAAAGCTGCCACATAATGGAGGGGACACAAAATAGAGAGTAAACAAAACTTTACAGTCTGAATTTCTGGACAATACTGGCTCTCTGAGGACATTTAACAATGTCCCAAGGAAGGAATCTCGTTCAGAGAATCCCCAGATTTGACTTCCCTCCTCTCCTTCCCAAAGGAGGAAGCCCAGAGTAGAATCCAGTGGATAGCTGCCTGTGAAGCTATTTCCATGTAAGTGGGCACTGGCTCCATCATTGTCCCTGAGTCTCTTCCAGGGGTCTGGGTGGGACCATGCCACCTAGGCCAGCCAGAAGCCCCTGGCCAACAGAAGTAGCTGACCGCACACCCCTTGAAGCCGGAGGATGCTGAGGATGAGGATGTAGGGATGGACAGATGTGCACAGGTAGATTAAAATCTGCCACGGCCAGTACCAGTCACTCTCTGAGGAGAAGAAACCCGCAGCATCGATGACCAGGGATGCGAAGGACAGAGCATGAAGAATGAGGAAGGAGACGAGTGACTTCAGAGCTCTGGTATGAGCCTGGCCGCTGGGGTCCTGCGGGCTGTGGGTGCTGCGCTGCATCCTCCCTGTGTGTCGCCTCAGAGAATTAATCAACAGTGCAATTGAGAACAGAAAGGCAGAGCAGGGAACTGACAAGTGGTAAGTTTCAGGGGCAAGAAAGAGTGAATTTCCAGCCTCCGGCTCCACTGCTTGAAGGTCATGTTCCAAGGAAATTTTCTTTTTTTTTTTTT